CAGATGATCTTGAGGCTATGCTCTCGGTTTTGTTATCTCAGGAAAATCACCCATGAAAATGTAAAACGAGTCTTTCTTCCTCCAGAAAATCCGCTGGGTGGGAATTCCAGTTCTGGGAAATAAAGGATGATTTGCATTTCTGGACAGGAAGTTTCCCAAATGCTTGGGTTACTGCGTTACTGTGCTGTGTTGTTAATAAGGGAATGGGGCCGTGAACTCAAATCCTGCCTCTGCCCTTCCAGCCCCGTCTTTGGCCCATTCTTGATCTGCCCGCCCTGTTTTCCGTCCACCCTACAGCCTGAGACTGTTAGGCCTCAGCTCCCTTCCTTCAGCCTCTAACTGAAAACTTCCTTGGTCCTGAATGATGCCAAAAAGATGAAATTGGATTTTGTTAGTACACAGACTTCAGCATGTTAGCATAAATGCATTTTAGGAATAACTTCATTTAGGAGCTAATGCTCATAACTAGTATGACAAGCATGGCCATTAATCAGTGCTCAATAACTACCTTTTCTGGCTTTGGACCCGACATCCCACTGTGTCACCATCACGACTCATCTCACCTTCACGTTACTACGTGTGTGGTGATTATTTACCTTTAGACGTGTAAGTGTATAAATGCATCAGGGGTTCCCAGGCAAAGTCTGGCTTTCCAGAATAACAGCTTAATAGAATGTTTACTTTTAAAAATGCACAGGACCGGGAAAATAGGGTTTTGTGGTCAGTACTTGCCTCATTTTTCAGGCCACAGTAGTAACTCTTCTTAGGGAAACAAGCAAGGGGGTGGGGAGAGCTATTGCACCTATGTAAAAACCTGAAATAATTAGAGTTAGGAGTTTGAAAAATGGATCCATAAATATGTATCACTTTATTGAGCATATGTAACTCAGTCTGGTAAGGGTGCAGTAGAAGGGAAGGGTGGAGATGAGCAGCTACTGGGAGCAAGACACCTCCACAGACCTGTAATCTAGGATAATATGGGCGGGTTGATATTGTTAATGTCATCACTGCTGTGCTAATCAAGATGCAAAAAGCTCAGAAAGGATAAGTAACTCTTTGCAAGCCTCTGAGCTGGTAAATCACAGACACTGTTTTGTTTTGTCTTTTTTAATCCATGTCCACTTAATTTGGAAGCCCGTGGTTTTTCCAGTTAGCCGCATACTTGGCAGTGCTGGAAATTAAAAGGTGCTTTCTGGAAATATAGACCATGCCCTTCCGGAGCTCACCTCCAACAAGAATAGAACAGGGTGGAATTACGCTTATGGGGTGGTTGGGGGGGACTGGACCTGTAATTTCTGGCGTGTGGAGCAGGCGGTGGGGGGACTCTCTGAAGGCGAGTATATGAGACAGACTTGGGTGAGTGGGCTGTGTGGGCAGGTGAGCAGAGC